AGGCTCCCCCTATTTATTACAAAAATTAAATGTTTAATACAAAATAAGATACAGTCGGACCTCCATATAACGAAGTCGCTAAATCCCGAAAAATGTTCGATATGTGGAGGCTAACTCTCAATTTTCTTTATAAACCACATAAAAAAAAATTTTAATTCATAAACACTATATAATAAAAAGATTAATTATTCACACCTTTTTGAAAATTAATGTATATTTATTTAATCTATCTTACCTATCAAAAAAAAAAAGAAAGAAAGGAAAACTGCAAGGAAAGTTTCTTGACGCTTCTATCCACTTCCTGAAGAATTAAATTTTTTTCTATGATGCTCAAGCTCTTACGTTTTGACATTTTCGAGCTACAAGGAACGAAGTTATCAGTACGACGGATCAACACTACACATGAATGGAAACTAGTTCAAAGACACGGGGACTCGAGACAACTCCACTGAGGGTGAAAGGGATGTAACGTTTGAAAGAATAACGGTAGCGTATTCTTGGTTAATTAAAATATGGAATTTATTTACGTCACAACTATTGAATGTTATTTACTAAATGATACAGTAAAGTTATTAAATTTAATTATAGATTGTTAGAGTCCAATATTTTGTGAGAGGAGGATTCGTTGGTTACCACTCCCGTGCAAGTTCAAAAGCATCTCTCCCCTCATCTTCCGGTCGACGAGCTAGATTCCTCGGGGGGTCAAACAGGGGTTGCGTTGCACCTGCAAGATGCACGTGTGGGTGTCGGGTCCACAAAGAAAGCCGACTAGATGTTGATGTTTTCGAGAAGTGACGTTACAGGGAGTATCAAAGATGTTTCCATTGAACTGGATAACGGAGGTTAAGTTTTGCACTTCTAGGTTGAAATACCCAGACTTCTATTGCTCTTGTAAAGTTAAGCCCCTGGTAAAACCAGTTCAAGGTTTGTGACCACGATAAAATGTACTAAAAGAGAGAATAACTCGAAATGTCCAGAAATACTTCAAAAATAAAGAAAAAAAATTAAATCACAAGAGAAGTTCGTTATATAGAAAATTCACTTCTTTATCAGGAAGTTATTCTACGAAGAAAATCGTGAAATATTCTTGGTTCCTGGAAAAAATTCGCTATATAGAAAAATTCGCAATATAGAGATTCGTAATATGGTGGTTCGACTGAATATGTTTAATAATTAAAAATTTATATTTTGAATTGTAAAATCTGGCTTATAACGCACCCTTTTAACACCAAAAATATGTTCGAAATTTACGGGTGCGCGTCATACTCCGTTATAAAAAAAGAGAACCTTAAAATTAAAAAAAAGATAAGTGTAGAAAATAAATTCGTCTACTACATGCATCAAAATACTGCCTGTTTAAAAGAAATGACATTTCTGATACGAAATTAAGGGTTGTAGTTCTACAAGTATATTATTTCTTCAAAATCTCGGGATAATACGTCGAATAAATTACTTCAAAACATAAGAGCATTGCAAACTCTTACATTTCAGGTTCCTTTGTAAAAAAAGAGGGTTCTCGCGTTATACGGCGAATATACATAAAAATTTAAAAAATGAAGCTTGAAAGTATAGGTACGCGTTATACGCCGGATTTTACAGTATTGGTACTCATGTACTATCGCAACAATGCCAACGTTCAAGATAACTAGCCAAGTTGGCAACCCCGATTTAGCTTGTGTCGCACCAAAGCCTCCTTGGTCGTACGCACTGAATCGGCAACCATGGCTTCGTTTCATGTGATGTTGCCAGTACAGTTGTGACAATACGTAAGTACCGAATTATTATATGAATTAATCTGGGTGGGAAAAAATAAATTATTGGGGAGAACATTTAGAATTTACATTTGAAGAAAAATAATCAATATTTTAGATAGAGAAGTTATTGTAGAAGTCGGTGGCAATTTTTTGTAAGAATTCTATATGTGAATGGACTTGCAGGGTCTGCCTGAAAACCGTCTGGCTCTCGATAATATTTGGATACTTCCGATCTCCAGTAATGTGCACAAGGTTGTGGTTTGTGGGGGCTCAAAACTCTCCCACAGACCAGCAGGTTTATAATTCTTAGCATAAAGATTATGTTTCGGCATTTCCGCAACGTGTTGTTTAAAATATAACCCCCCTAAAAGTAAAAGCACCGATCTCTTTTATTCCCAGAATTTTTGGCATAACTTGTTTACGTATTCCCAGATAGAGCAAGCATAGCCAATAATATGATTAGAAAATTTTGCAAGTTTGGAACTTATATGGAGGTAGAAAAGAACTTTCTTTCTTAATCGCCAGTAAATATAATTGGATTTCTGTTCTGTTTACATCTATCACTTTGTCCTGTTGTACTTGCCATGCTTAGATAAAATTATTAGCTAATGCCATTGACCTCTTTATTTCGTATGCTTATTTTTTTGCTGAGACTTCACCAACCACTTGTTTCAAAACTGCTTGTGCAAAAAAAAAAAAAAACAACATTCAAATGAAAATTTTATTATTTTTTGTTGATTACAATTTATTATTATTCACTAATATTTTTAAATTAACCCCTATAACTTCATATATCACTATTATTATTATTATTTGAACATTAAATATATTAAATAATAAATTATTTTTCAGTATATAGTTTATTTTATACTTAAACTTTTCGAAAAGAGAACAAAAGGTTTGTAAAACTATTTGAATCTTCTTCAATGGCTCGACAGCCCCGAGTGGGCCCTGGCCTTCTCCAGAAGTTTCCTCCAGGCATCCCTACTTTTGGTAACTGTTTTCCAGTTTTTGACCTTTAAAATATTTAGGTCTTTTTTGACGCAGTCAATCCATTTTAACAGGGGTCTGCCCTGATGTTTATTTCCCATGTCCTTTGCCAGAAGGATTTTCTAGCAGCAACGATCTTCATTCATTCTAACCAGATGACCAGCCCATTTAAGTCTCTGTAATTTGACAAATTTTACAATATCAGGTTGTTTGTAAATTTTGTAGAGTTCTAAGTTAGATCTTCTTCTCCATGATCCCTTCACTTGGATCCCACCAAAAATGTAGCATAAGATCTTTCTCTCAAAAATTCCCAAAGCTTCCTCATCACGTAAAGTCAATGTCCAAGTCTCTGATGCATAAGTCAGGACAGATCTTATAAAACTTTTGTAAAGAAGCAATTTAGTTTTTAATTTGAGAAAACTGAATTTTAAATAACTCTTCAAGGCATAAAAACATCCATTTGCACCAATGACTTTTTATAAATTTCTGGAGCAAAATTTCTATGTGTCTAAGTTGTAAGTTGGACTTTAAACAAGGTAAATATTTAGTTTTATTCTCGTTTACAGTTAATTCTTGCAGCACTTCGTTCTAATGCCATAAAGACCTGTTTAAGAGCTAATGCTTGTTCAGGCAATAAAGCCAATGTCGTAAGCATATTCAGTATTTGAACTGAATTATTAGAAATATTTAACCTAATATTAATTTTTGAATTTCTAATAACTTTTCCAAGTGGTATATTAAACAGGAGGCATGCCGATGCATCCCCCTGTCGCACTTCACTTTTCACCTCAAGCCGTTCGGTGAAATCACTATGTATGCGTACTTGAACTTTTGGATTCTTTGAGAGTCAGAGTTAGAAGGGCAACAAGTTTTTAAGGAATTTTCAATTAATACATAGCTTTTATGAGAAATTCTCTGTTAATGCAATCATATGCATTTCTAAAATCGATAAACAGATTGTGAGTCTCAATTCCAAATTCTCTACATTTTTCAAGAATCTTATTCGAATCTTACTACTGATTAATATTCTGAATTTGATTGATTGATTGGTTGAATATTAACGTCTCACTCTTCAGCTACACGAGGGCGTTTGGCGACGGACCAAGTAATTTTGAACCATGGTCAAGTGACGTGGACGACACCTGAGCTAACACCTCCCTCTCCTAACTACCACACCAACAGGAGGACGTTTCAGCTCTCGACAAATTTAACGTGCATAGCTGCCCTACACGGCGGGTCTTTAGTGGTACTGGGCTCGAGCCCATGACAAGGCAAGCCGCGATCCAATACCTATAGCCACGATTCTGAATTCAAAATTCAAGACAATCTATGCATATTTTTTAAAATAACTCTCTTAGGAATAAATTATTTTATTATAATTGTTATAATAGTGGTAGAGGTATGTAGTTTAATGTATATAAAATTAAAATTAAACAATTTTTGTTTTACTTTTTAATAATGATATTATAATATTAATAGCGTCTCTTCCGCTTATATATTCTCAGGTTGCAATTCACACTACTTAAAACAAATATATGCATTTAAACTTTTACACTCTCACACTACTGTTTTTCGAGACACTATGGAACAAATGTTATAAATTCGGGATCAAAACACGAGTCGTAACAATCGGACAAGGAACGAAAGTTCGGGACTCTCCTGGAATTGTTCCTTTAAATTGTTTCTGAAATTGTTCCTTTTGAATATACAAATAAAAGCAAATAGAGAAAACTATTTATTGGAATACTGGTATGTTAAAATGGAAAATGAAACTTAAATTCCTTTTCGAACCATTTCCTCCGTAGAAATAAGGATTATAAAAGTTTCCGAACTATTCAATTATTAAAAATTACGTTGAAAATTGATATTTTTATCAGGATTTTGTTTTCTCCTGTTTTTGCTTTTTTTTTTCTTCAATTATATTCATGTATATATATATATATATAAATATATATATACTTATATGTATACATATATATATATAAATATATATATACTTATATGTATACATATATATATATATATATATGTGTGTGTGTGTGTGTGCGTGTGTGTTCAAATTTTCAATTGTCAATAAAATACTTTCTATTTATCCATTCAAGTTCAAATACTTTTTTTTTTAATTTGTAGTGTGAATGACACTCGATGTTAATGCATTTTATCAAACATTAATGCAATAATTAAATTAAAAAATGAATAAATAGTAACAAGCATAATAGGCAAACAGCATGTATAGAAAGGAAAATCATTCGTTGCGTCCCTGCAGAGCAATGGATAGCACGTTGGACTTCTAATCCAAAGGACGTGGGCTTAAATCCTACCAGGAATGGCCTAATGTCTGAGCATGTGATACCTTTTTCACTATACTACTTTATTGGAATAATTAAATTTAATGAATGAATAAACAGTAACAAAAAAAAATAATCCAACAACCTATGTTTAAAAAAAAATGGAAAATTGCAAGAAAAATCTATTTCTATTTTGTCACTTAATATTGAGATTCTGTCATAGGTATATACATATTTATATTACTTGTAACTATTTAATAAAAAGCAACTAAAATAAAATGTTTCTTTGTTGACCTAAGTAGGAACTGACACTTGATTATTTTTTATATATATATTTCTTATTTTAACTCTTAAGTATCGAAAGGAGCTAAGTACTTATTAGTAGAGACAAGATATTTTCCTTTTAACATTACCCAACTCCTTGATCCAGTGTCGCTAGAGGTCATCGTATTATGGATAGGAGACACTGTGGCTTCCCCTTGCTTTTCATGTTTAATCCCCCCTGACAAAACTAGTTTCAACAAAAACTATCTCCCCGTTCGTGATAACAGGAATAACGATGATCCTTGAAGAAAGGTGAATTTTTCGAGATTTCTGCTTAGGAAATTTTCTAAGACTTCTGATAAACATTTCTTATTACCAATCATGCTATACAGTGTCACACACGGGGGTGGAGGGGGAGTTCAAAAACTTGAGGATGGTGGTTAATAGCTTTCATAGAGCTTTAAAGTGCAATATTGATAAAAAAAAAAATCAAATACAGCATGCTCAATTTTATTCAATTGGATGAAACCATCACACTCCAGTATATATATATATATATATATATATATATATATATATATATATAAAGGGTTTTTTTTTAGAGGTATAGAACTTTAAATTGCAATAAAACAACGATGTATTATTCGATTGACATGAATATTTTTTATTCGAAAGATAATCTTGTGGCATTACATTTTAAATATGATTTCTGGCATGTGACTGCCACGGCTGGCTCGGATGTAGTCCAATCTGGACGTCCAATTTTCGATGACTTTTTCCAACATTTGTGGCCGTATATCGGCAATAACACGGCGAATGTTGTCTTATTCAATATTATTAAATTTCTATTATTAAATTCAATATTAGGTATGTAGGGGTCTACCTAAAACCGAAAAAACATGGCAAGGGGTCTATAAGGCTAAAAGTTTGGGAGCCTCTGCTTTAGGACAACACTTATCGCAGCATGAAGGTAAACAACAATAGGTAAATGTTTTTTTAATCAAATTATCGAAGATAATTTCCCTTCAAACACGTTAATTCCATTATAAAAATTGTGGGACGAGTTTTTAATAAAGCAGTTTTAATAAAAGGATCAACTATAATGTTAATGAGCTTTAATACATAGAAAAATGCACTTGATACATTATTGCTTCGAATAAAATTTCATAATGTTACTAATTACCTTTTTAATAACGCTGCTTTACTATTTATTAACTACCTCGAATGAAGCGTTCATGAATTTTTCCTTCGTAATTATATAAATCTATAAAAAAAATTTTGTGTCTCAATGAGAAAAAAAAAAATCTTAGCTTTTTTCAGTGATAAAAATATAAGTTTGGTTATTTGAAATTAAAATGATGCAGTCAATTTCGCATTTCTTGGAAGTATGTAAATCCGTTTGCCTTTTTTACAGTTATAATCTTTTATCAGTTTGTAATACGGAAACGGCCAAAGTGTCTAGATATTTTGAATGGTTTCGCAGACATTTGGTGCCAGTGACCGGTTTCTAAGATAATATATTTACCGGACTGATAAGACGTCTGTGAATTTACTGACCAATACACCGAACTGATAAGTCCGGCAGGCATTTTTAAGCTTTTTTGGGGGGAGGGAGGTATCTTATTTAAATTCTGTTGATAGTTTTGAGCTTTTGTCGCATAAAAAATAATTTTGTGGTTTTTAACAATGCATATTATATCTTCTCTGTAGCTTGGAAATTGAAAATGTCTGTCCAAAACCTTCTTTTAAGTGGGCTGTAGAAATATTTCGCTATTCACGATCATTCCCTCTTCAGAAAATAAAGGATTAAAAAAAATTTGAACGCTACATTAGTAGATCATTAATTAATATATCATTAATTAAGCTAAAATTAGAAAACAACCCTTAAGGAAACGGATCACTTTAAAAGCTATCTAAAACTTTTCTATCACTTTTTTTCACGCACAATTTCTAAGATAATATATATAAAGTATGTTAATTTAACCACCCGTTACAATAAAAACATAACATTTGCATTTGTATCACATGTAATGTAAATATTTATTATATAAGTTACTTAATATTTATATATAATCCGTTATGCCCAATACTTTGATTCAAACTTCAAATACCTACTGTGCAGTTTCAATCAAAGTAGCGATATAAGTTTTGTCAATTATAGCTATATAAACTGAGTTAGATTTCCTTCAAATATATATTTCAGAACTTTTCTCTCCCAATTTTTAATTCATGATTAATGAACATTTTGAGGAAAATGTTTGAGTTTAATTTTTAAACGTCGAACATAAAAATTCTGGTATATTTTAGCTGCTCCAGTAACACTTCAAAAACTCCTTTCATATTTTGTATCAAAATAACTATAATAAAATCACAATTAATAATTTTGAGCAGAAAAGTCTCACAAAATGTGTACGTAAATAGTAGTTAATTTTTAGACTGCATACACAAGCAATGAATTTTCAAAAATTTCTTTAAAAGGCTTATATTATTTTGAAATTTATATTTAGGCTTTAGCATCGAGCAATGCGTAATAATAGTTAATTGAATCAAAATATCAATATTGATGGATCTAAAGGGTTTTCATATATTTCGAGCCCTATCGTATTTTTAATAGATTTATAACAGAAAATACTTTACGTGAAGAAATAGTGAGCAATAATATCAGCGTAGCCTCTAGAACCACTCTAGCATTTAATGTGATATGCTCCTAAATTTAACACAATATTTTTAAGTGCTTTTGAAATGCATAAGATTTTTTGTTGGATATATACTAATTGTATATAATTATGCAAATAAATATTTGTATATTGATCATTATGTGCATAATTATCTTTATAAAAATTCATTAAATTACATTTCTATAATTTTTTTTTAATTCTCTTAAATTTAGGGAGTGTCTATTAACGTGCATTATAAAGTAACATGAAGACTATTGGTTTCATCATTTCTAAATCATAGCGAAATAAGAACGCAATATTAATATTGGACCAATTTTCAGTCTGAAAAAGATATTCCGATTTACACTCCTATTATTTAACGTTACACGATGGTAGTCTTAAAAAATGACTCTTGCCCAACATTTTCCATGGTACAGTGAAGTCCCCAAACCTCAGCACTTGGATAGTCTTGATAACTCCGCCGCCCCCTTCCAAGTTGATAAAAGTGACATCGAACTGTTGTTCCGGAACCATATAGAGTAAGACATTTTATGCCCAAAATAAAAATTATTTCTGTTGTCTCAGTTAATGAGAAAATGCTGAAGACGTTAACGTTGAGAGAGGACACAAAACAAACTCTTAAAATACCACACAGTGAGAGACGTAAAGGGTGTTTTTTAGAGGCATAGAACTTTAAATTGCAATAAAACAACGATGTATTATTCGATTAACATGAATTTTTTTTATTCGAAAGATAATCTTGTGGCATTACATTTTAAATATGATTTCTGGCATAGAACTGCCACGGCTGGCTCGGATGTAGTTCAATCTGGACGTCCAATTTTCGATGACCTTTTCCAACATTTGTGGCCGTATATCGGCAATAACACGGCGAATGTTGTCTTCCAAATGGTCAAGCGTTTGTGGCTTATCCGCATAGACCAATGACTTTACATAGCCCCACAGAAAATAGTCTAGAGGTGTTAAATCACAAGATCTTGGAGGCCGATTCCCAGGTCCAAAACGTGAAATTAGGCGGTCACCAAACGTGTCTTTCAATAAATCGATTGTGGCACGAGCTCTGTGAGATGTTGCGCCGTCTTGTTGGAACCACAGCTCCTGGACATCATTATTCAATTCAGGAATGAAAAAGTTAGTAATCATGGCTCTATACCGATCACCATTGACTGTAACGTTGTGGCCTTCATCGTTTTTGAAGAAGGATTCCACCAGCCCATAAAGCGCACCAAACAGTCAGTTTTTCTGGATGTAACGGTGTTTCGACATACACTTGTGGATTAGCTTCACTCCAAATGCGGCAGTTTTGTTTGTTGACGTAGCCATTCAACCAGAAGTGCGCTTCATCGCTAAACAAAATTCGCTTATGAAAATCGACCATTATTTTCGAAATAAAATTGCACAATTTGAAAGCATTGTTCAGGCGTGAGTCTATTCATGATGAATTGCCAAACCAAACTGAGAATAAATCACTTGACAGCTGTTAAATCGGTCGCCATCTTGGAAAGTAATGCCAACTTAAACTTCTATACCTGAAAAAAAAAACACTCTGTAGAAACCGCCCATCAGTTTTTTGAACTACAAGGTGCATCGGTAATAGACTTAGTGTTTCTTAATGGCCTTCGTGATGAAGTAGCTATTGCGCCCTCTAGCGTCCGTTATGCAAAACTATTTTTTGTAAACGAAGGACTCGAGAAAAAGAACGGAAACGACTTGCAACGAAGCGAGCGACCGGAATGTGTTATATTCCGGTTTTTGTAGAAAATAGTTTTTAGTTTAGAAATTATAATTCTAAATAAACGTTAGAATTGCCTACCAAAAGTAGCCTCTTTGATGTCAAGTTCATGAGAACCTCTCATTTAATTTAGTAACGATCACATGGATCAACTGTTAAGTACACCACAGTAGCAAAATACAGAAGACAAAAAGACAAATTACTCATTTCTTTAGAAAAAAGTAGCCAGTTTTTTTGCATACTCGGCTACTTAATTTGTTTTATAGACAGTTTTATGCTTCCATAAAGTATTGTTCTGAGGTGTGTCTGATCAGGTAAATTACTGTATACCGGTGGTCTTCAAACTGTGTTCCACGGAACCCTGGGT